ACACACACACACACACACACACACACACACACACCTCTGCCACAGAGTCAATTCTGACTGTAAATCTTTACGGAAGCAGATGGTCTCGTGGTTCAAACTCACCAGCGGACAGCGTTACCAAGGCCCCAGCTGATACACAGTAGGTGCTAAGTATTTATTTACTGGCGGAAGAAATGTTTCTGGTCATCTTTGATGAGCAGTAGGAGAGATTAAGGGACTGAATCCACTGGTGTCTGATTTGGGAGTTGAGATTCAAAACTATCCCACCTGGTCCAAACCCTCATATTCCCACTGCATTGTGCCATTCCGTGGGGCAGATGCTAGAACCCCTCCTGGGGTTGCCGTCATGTTGTCTCATGTTGTCTTGGCTCACCTCTAAGCTCTCCAATCCTGCACACCGACTAACAGCTGACCTCTGGCGCGCACTGCCCACAGGACTGGCTGTGGGCTCCTCGGGGTGACTCACGTACCCCGGTGGCAATGACACTCACCAAGGGCTCCAGCTCCTTGCGATCTATGAGGTTCATCTCTGTGACGAAGTAATAGAAGTGTTTGTAGCAGGTGTTGACGTGGGCCTCAGCACCCATCACAATGACGCGGTCAAAGTGGTGGATGTAGACGTGGACAAAGACCCGAAACAGGCGGCACAGGATCTTCTTGCAGATTTGAAGGAAGTTCTTTGGGAAAGGAACACCTGGAGAAGAGAAACAAAACCGGAATGGAATGACAGGAGAAAGATGAAGCTTTGGGGGAGCGCCACCGCCCGGGAGCCACCCTGGAGAATCATGCTGGCTGTGAGCCTGCCAAGCTACAGGGCCCACCCCTCTGGGGGCAGCTGCCACAGAAGCCTGCTGAAACAATGGCTAATAGGGGGTTAGGATCAAGTGCCAGCAAGGATGTCAGAGAAGCAAAAAGGAGTGAAGAGGGCTAGATTTGTTTCTTTGTCTGTGTCTTTTTGGGGTGGGACCTACTTTGCATATTAAACATTCAGAAATGACAGTCTGCAACTGGCAAGGCTATGGGCACAGGGAAAAGAGCACTTGCTGCCAGGGGGCCGGGGGAAGATGGGTGACAGGGGTGAGGTGGGCCCAGGGCATTTGAGGACAGTGGAATTATACTGTGTGGTCCTATAATGGTGGATCCATGCCTTTGTGAACGCTCTGAGGGCTGTGTGCACAACACAAAGAAAGAAGGCCTCCTGAATTGATGGACTTCAGGGAACCGACTGTATCAATCTTGGTGCATCAATGTAACAATGCTACAAGTACGCCCCATGTTCCCAGTGGGAGAGGCCGGCGGGCAGGAGTGCGAGCAGATACACCGCACCTCGGAGCCCTTTCTGCACAGGAAGCCAGAAGCTGAGCAGAGAACAACAACATGGACCAAACGTGCGGAAAGACCTTGTAGTCTGAAAAGAAATATGGATGCTCCCTTCCTGCTTGCTAATTTAGCCCACTTTTTGGAGCATAAGACCTTCTCTTTTTGTTTTATAGATTTTATTTAATGTTAATAAATTTTATTTAAGGAGTTTTACACTTTGTCATCCATTGGTTCCTCTAAATCTTGCAAAAGTTCATCTTCAAGATAGCCCTTTGTAAGGAGCCACCATTGTCCAGTAAGCATTAATCTCAGACCTGTCAATTCTTCTGGTTACACCACTTTAACCTCCATTATGGACAAATGTCAAACATTTCATGCCTGATAATTCTGTTATTCCCTTTAGGGCCCTAGAAGTAGATAGTACATTTATGTTTTGGGAGTAAATAGTATTAGTGCTAAATATTTCTACATTGCTAACTTTTAGTATTGCTTGAGCAAAGTGTTAGAGGTCTCATTGTCACCACTGAAATTAACCCACAGTGATAGAAGCAAAACCTGGCATCCTTTCAGCCAAGGACCTTCTCTTAACAGACAAGAAACCTGGAAGCAGGAGGGCGTGGTGATGGAGAGGTGAGCATTTCCTGCCACTGGAGGCGGGGAGTGTTGGGGGGGAGGCTGCAGCAAATTGGCAAACACAGGCCCAGGGTTGCTGGGACTTCAGAGTATTCACCATGATTCAGGGATTTCCAGAGAATTCAGCGATCGAGGCTTTTGGGTGAACTTGCTCCGCATCCAGCGAGATAGCCATTCGAGTGTTCTGGCTGTGGCTGGCGCCGTCCAGTGGATTCCGACTGACAGTTAGCACTGGCCCCAGAGGAGAACTGGGTTTTGTTTTCAAGGGTGCAGCCTTCCAGGAGCAATCACCACGACTGCCTTCTAAAGCACGGATGGTGGGTTTGAACTGCCAACCTTTCCATGAGTAGTTGAGAGCTGAAACATTAGCAACCCTTCCCCCCACAAAAAAAACCCCACCAAACTCACTGCCATTGAGTCTATTTCAACTCCTAGTCACCCTATAGGACAGGGAAGAACAGCCTCTGTGGGTTTCCAAGATAGTTAGTCTTTGTGGGAGCAGACAGCTTCATCTGTCTCCTAAAGAGCAGCTGGTAGGGTTGAACCGCTGACCTTGTAGTTAGCAGCCCAGCAGGCAACCCACTATGCCACCAGGGATCCTTGAGCACCACCCAGGGATGCTTCTGAAAGTGTTAACAATTACAGAGCAGGCTGCGGAAGTTGCAACCTGTGTAAGGCGGAAGCCTGTCAGAGAAGGAAACCTTTTGATTACATTGAGTGATAGAAAAGTGGTAAGACTGCATGTACCCTGTCAAAGGGAGAAACCTGCAAGACCTGGGAAAACAAGCAGTCCCATTGAGTTCTGGGTCTTGTAAGTTTCACTATATGAATGTTTCAAAAATATCAAAAGCAAACAAAACCTCCCTGTGGGGCAGATCTGGCCCTCGGCCTAGCATGTTCTGATCCAACATTATCTTAAGACAGAGGGCCTCTGAGGGAGGCAAATTCACCAGATGTCATAGATACTTTTTGTCAAGTCCATTCCCGCTGCACCTCTCAGAACACTAAGAGTTGGGGGCTTCTATTTTTTTTTTTAACACAGATAGGGCGAGTGGTCAGGTGGGGCCCCCCAGAGTTCCTGCCAGGTGGCCACTCCCTAGCCTGGTCAAGGTTACCAGAGCGGGGTCCCAGGCGCCCCACCTTTTCTCCAACATGCTAATACCTCTGGTGTGGACACTGCTGACAGGCAGTCAGGCGCACTCCCTCCCAGCTCTGTGGCCTTGGGCAAGTGAGCAATGTCTCTGTGTGTCCGTTGTTCCACACGTGAAAGGAAAGGTAACACTTCCCGAGGCCAGGGGGATTCGAAGGGATACCTGAGCTACTATGGTTTCTTATGTCTAACACAGAGACACAGAACCCCAAACACACACACACACACACACACACACACACACACACACACACACACGCTTCAAAAATTTCATTGAAAAAGATTTAATTACAAGGTAATGAAATGTTTCCACAAAAATTTTGAAGCCTGTGTATGCACATGTGTGTGTGGTGTGTATGTGTATGTTGTCTCTGTGTGTATGGTAAGTGTGTGTATATGGTGTGTATTTGTGTGTGGTACATGTTGTGTGATTGTTGTGTGGTGTGTGTGTGGTGTGTGTGTGGTGTGTGTATATACTGTGTGTGTCTAGAGAAGCTCATACCCGGGGTCATGCAAATGGTTAACACGCTCAGCCACTAATTGAAAGATTGCAGGGTAGGGTCCACCCAGAGTTATCTTGAAAGAAATTCTTGGCAATCCATTTCCGAATAAAACCCGCCACTGTAAACCATATGGAGCAGAGTTCTACAGACACACATGCGAAAGCCAAGAGTCAGAATCGGCTTGAGGGGAAACGGTTTTATAGAAAGAGATGACCTTTAAGGAACTGGTTCAAGGATTATGGAGACAAGTCCAAAGTTGGTAGACCAGACAGAAGTCCAAAGTTGGTAGACCAGACAGAGGGCTGGAAATTGTGGCAAGGTTTGCATGTGTATCTACCATCACGAGATAGAATTCCTCACCCCCAGAGAAACTTCCATTTTTGCTCTGACAACTGATTGGATGAGGCCCTTGTGATGGAGGGCAACCTGTTTACTTACTGTCAACGGATGTCCATGTTTATCACGGGTAAATACCTTCACAGTAAAACCTAGCCTAGAGTTTGGCTGCACAGTCAAGTAGACGCATGAAATCACGCATCACACAGGATCTTTGGTTCTTGCTTGGAAGGCTGTGTGGATGGTAACTGGGCAAAATGCTCCTACGGTGCCTAGAACCGAGGACCCAAACCAAGAATGGAGGTGCCATCCAGTTGATTGGGATGCATTGTGAATGCCTGTGTCAGAGTAGAACTGGGATTTCCACTGGCTGATGTTTCAGAAGTAGCTCTCCAGGCCTTTCTTCCAAGGTACCTCTGCATAGACTCAAACCACCAACCTTCCAGTTAGCAGCAGAGTTCATCAACCCAGGAACACTGGAGGAGTTCGGAAGCCCACCCCTTGTGAATCCTCCCCCCACCCCCACCAGGTTCTCCACAAGACAAGGTCTGGAGTTCGTTGACGGTTAATCTAAGGAAAACCATTCTTCTTAAGAAAGGCAGGCAGCACCAGCAGTCTTTGAACAGAACTGCAGAACTCTGCTCAGGGCATGCTCGTGGCTCCCAGAACCCAGGGGGACCTGCTGTCCTGGTCCCCACAGGGTCCCAGAGGCAGCTGGCTGGTGAGGCATACCCTGTAATGGGATCACACGGGACGCCCCCGGGGCACGATGAGAGAGGGGGAACACGTTTGGCAGTCAGCAGTGTCATGATCTGTCTCCCCAGGGCTCTGGCACCGATACTGGCTTTTCTTCTGCAACAAAGTGGCCACATATCAAATAAGCCCAGGGAGAGGGTGGGGCACAGCTTGGCAGCTGACTGGGCAGCAAATGGTGGGATTTAAGGGAGGAGGGGAAATGGGGAGCAGCCCATGGGCAGAACTTGAGGGCTATTCCTTGGGCTTCAGAGAAGCCAGCACCACTCCCTGGCTGGGGAAGCTGCCGGGTGTCATCTCCACAGCCTATCAGTGGTGTGGGCCTTATGCTTCCTCTTCTACCAGTGAAGGAAATGAAGACCCAGAGGCATGAATGAACTTGCTCCAGCAACTCAGCTAAAAACGGGGGGCTGCCATGTGAGCTCAGTGTATCTGACTCTAAACTCTGAAGTACCTGCTTCGGTTTGCAGGGTAACTCCTTCTCTCTGGTCCATGATAGAGGTTCCACCCCTTTCACTGCTAAATGAAGCATCTAAGGGTTACGGTTCTGTGGCAAAACCAACAAACCCCTAAACCCAGCGCTGTCCTGTTGATGCTGACTCACAGCAACTTTCTAGGACAGAGTAGAACTGCCCACTACGGTTGCCAAGGATGCAAGCCTTTATGGAAACGCACGGTCATACCTTTCAACACTGAAACACTGCACTACCAGGCCTCCTCTTAGTTGCACATCGAGATAATTAAAATTTAAAAAGGTGATAAGGGGAGAAGGCCCAGGGGGCAGGGAAAGGGGGCAATGTCAGAGCCCACCGCCTTCAAGGAGAAATTTGCCTTTCCTTGCTGAAGGCTTCAACCCTAGACAGGGGATGAATCCGCACAAGCTAACGTTCATTGTTGTTGGGTGCTACTGTTGAGTTGGCTGACTCGGGTTGATCCTGTGTACCCCAGAACGAAATGTGGCCAAATCCAGTGACAACCTCCTAATCGTTGCTATGGTGA